CCCATATTATGTTCGATATATTCATTTACAACATTTTCTCTGTGCAGAGGTCAGTATGACCAGACTACCTCAGACGTTCTTGAATTTAGTTTCCACAAGCAACAAAACTACTCCTTAGCTGGCGACCTTGTTCTTTTTTCTTTTGTTATCTTGCCAATTTCCGCCACTGCTACCACTCCTTTGTAGTTGCTGACTTCTGTTAACATATAATTCCAGGGGCTCTAGCCACTTCTTATGACTCAACCACCACTATTTATAAATTGATCTTGATTAACATTCTGTTTAATTATGGGAGCATCATGTTGAAGTTTCATCCTGTTCTACCCCCAATACTTAAGCATTTGCAACAAATGCATACACCTGCACATATGCACACATCCTCTCCCACTCTTACACAGGATTTGTTGAACAACAGTTCTGAACAGGACCCCCAACTCTGAAGCTGTAAAGCTAATTTCAACATTGTTTATTGCTACCACTTTTCATATTGGCTGTTCATTACCAAGTAGAGGAGTTTGGCAGATGACTACAGTGAAATTGAGTTAAATGAAAGGGTTTCAAACAAAATATTCCAAATGACCTTATATTGTTGGTTATAAAATGTAAGAATGGTTCCTTTTTAATAATGAGGTAATAACACTGTAGAGGCAATTACAAAAGTGTAATGGAATGAGGTTCACAAGAGGACTGGATGAATTCCTATTAGCGAACATATTAGTTATAGAATCAGTCAGGAATTTGGAGAGTAAAGAAAAAGGTTGGAATTTATGTATTGCCTTTGATCACTTCAAGATGTTCAAGAGCTCTTCATAGCAAGCGATGCATAGTGGGAAGAACAGCAAGACAGTTTTTGCATAACATCAAGTTAAATGGTGTTTTTGTGATGTTGATTGATAACCAAAAAATAGCCAGAACTGCTGTTCTTCAAATAATGCAGTAGAATATTTTTACATTCACTTGACAGTGTCTCTGACAGTACAGCATACCCTCAGCACTGCACAGAAGTTTAGGCCTAGAATCTGTAAACAAGTTTCTAATGTTGGACCGGGACCCACAGTTCTGGCTCAGAAGACTTAGGAAGAGTAGGACAGATGGACCATTACTTTAAACATTTACTATATCATTTTATATTAAGTCGAGACCAGAGTTTTACCATTAGTTAGTAAGCATGACACAAGTCAGTTTTGTGGAGCCTTTTGAATATTTTGACCCAGTAAACTTGCACTTTAGTTCCATTGATTCTGGGACAGAGAAAAGTAGAATAAAAAAGATCGTAATATTTTGAGAATGCTGTGATTTCCAGACCTTTGCATCTCAATTAATCTTTTTAATCCTGAATCTTGTGATAGAGTACTAGCAATAGGACATATGATACATTAATCAGAAATTTCTTGCCACACCATTAAAAACGATAAAGGACTGGAATGGATGATTCCTAACCTTTAGTGGCTCATTTAGTTTGTAGGTATTGGATAAGTGCACATCTTTATGCATTTCAACAATAACCCGCACCTCGAGAATTACGCAATGGCTGTTCCTCAGGAGAGTGTCCTTGGCCCAACCCATCTTTGTCCATTCTTCATCAATGACCTTCCTTCCATCATGAGGTCAGACATTCGCTGATGATTGCACAGTGTTCAGGCTAATTTGTCACTCCTAAGCTACTGAGGCATTCTGTGTCCACATGCAGCAAGACCAGAACACCATTCAGATTTCGCTGACAAGTGGCAACCTATCTACCACATGTAGGCCAGGCAGTGACCATTTACAGCAAGAGAAAACTGAATCACAAAACATCTTGGGGGTTACCAATACCAGAAACTGAACTCAACCAACCATATAAGTATTGTGGCTACAAGAAAAGGCCAGAGAGTTCTGAGGCAAGTAACTCATCTCCTGACTCCCTAAAGCCTGTCTACCATCTTCAAAGCACAAGTGTGAAGTGCAATAGAATATTCTCCAGTTACCTGGATGAGTGTGGCACCAACAACGCTCAAGAGAATCAGTACCTTCCAGTAGTTTGATCACTTTTCTGTTCTCTATCTTAAACTTTCATTCTTTCCACCACTAATACACTCTGCCATAGAGTTCTACTGCACTGAAAAAGGCCCTTCAGTGTATCAAGTCTACTATTCTTATCCCATTTTCCACCACTTGGCCTATAGCTTGTATGCCTTGACATCACAATTTTACATCTAAATGCTCCTTAAATGTTATGAGGGTTTCTGCCTCTACCACCCTTACAGGTAGTGAGTTCCAGATTCACACTATCCTCTGGGTGAAAAATGTTTTCCTCATATTCCTTCTAAACCTCTTGCCCCTTACCTTAAATCCATTGCCCCGGCCATTGATCCCTCTACCAAGTGGAAAGGTTTCTTCTGTCTACCCTATCTATGCCTCTCATAATTCATAACTAAAACTCTCCAGCCCAGGCAACATCCTGGGTATTCTCCTTTGCAGTCTTTCCAGTACATTCACATCCCTCCTATCATGTGGATTCCAGAACTGCACACAATGATCTAGTTGTAGCCTAACCAACTTTTTATATGCTTCCAGCATGATCTCTCTACTCTTAAACACTATGCCTTGGCTAATAAACGCAAGTATCCCATATGCCTTCTCAACTGCTTTATCCAGTTGCCGTGATACCTTAAGGGACTGGTAGACAAGCACACCAAGGTTTCTTTGATCCTTGGTGCTTCCCAGGATCTTACCACTCATTGTGTACTGTATAAAGGGACACTGCAGCAATCCAGCTTGGCTCTTTTGATAGAAGTTTCCGAATGTGTGACCTCTGTCACCATGGGACACTGTCACTTGCAAGTTCTCCTCTAAGCCACATGCCATCCTGAGTTAAATATATATTGATGCTGGGTCAAAATCCTTGAACTCCCTAATGGCACTGTCAAAGTATCCATGCCAGATGGACTGCAGCAGTTCAAAATGGTCTAGCCAGCAATGCAGACATTCCATAAAAGGAAAAAAAACTGTAAACATTTTGCAGCTTCTGGAGTGCATCTTGGCAAGGAAGCTCACAATTGTTTAGCTGCACATGTGTGGACTTTTAGGTTGATGTCTGATTTTGAAGTGAATAACCATCTTAGCCTCACTACTATTTCTAACACACAGCTCAGCCAAGTTAGACATGTAAAATGAGCAGGTTGGCACCTCTGTTCAAATAGTGGGACGAGAAATGTCAAACGAGTATGTTTAATATTCGCATGCTCATATTGTATTGCGTGGCTTCAAGAGCTTCCTGAAGTACAACCAGCAGAGAAAAATGCAACTGAAAATGTAATCATCATTTATCAGTTTTATCAATTCCTCATTGTTCTGATTTAACTTGCGTAAAAATCTTTAGCTGATGTTAATAATGTAGATTTAACTAGAAGCTTGACATGGCAAATACCATTTAGGATGTGCCATGAGACAATATTTCATTTTTAGCTAACTTAAATCTTTGTAAAAGAAAATTCTCAGCAGAATTTTATTTTTATTTTTAATCTCAGAGTGATTTCTCTTTAGAATGCAACTTGGACTAATTGTATTTACACCAAGTGCAGCACATGAGGGGGCACACAACTATTGGTGGAAATTTGTAACGTGCAGTGCAGTCCATGGGTTATTGCACTGCACAGAAGTTGACAATACTCTTGAGAAGAATGTTTTTACAACTTGGGGACAACTGTGAAATTATTCTAATTGGAAGTATAAACCAACCCAGTGATTAGAGAGACTCAAACCCAACTTTTTGTAAAAGATAAGAGCAGCTTCTGTACAGTTGCTAACTAAAATTTAAATGATGTGGGTCAGACAGTTTTAAGTCTGTCACAATGTTCTGTAGGTAGCAGATAACCTTTTCTCTCCTTTCAGCCACCCACACAAGTAGAAAAAATAAGCTTCAAAAAAAGTAATGAGCATTTGCATGCAGCAGTAGTTCTGCTTTTCTTTTCAGTGTAATATAAACACAATGCTTATGTATAATAAAATGTCATATTATATTCAGAGTTTCTGTTGACCTGAAGTGTCTTCAGCAATGATAATATACTTCATGCAATCAATAAGTTGCTGCTAAGTTGGACAATGCAATGCTTTAAAGAGTTGGGTGCACTCCTGTCATAGCCTACTAATATCTACTGGATGTAACTTTACAAAAGCTTGCCAACCTGTTTTTGATTGCAATTTATTTTTTGTTCTGCACTGGATGACACCATTCCTCAAGAATAATATCAAAGTCCCCCTTGCCATTTTAGCAGAAAGTTCAAAACAGAAAATCCGGTTTTGTCCTGAATCTTACTTGTCCCTTAGTATTATTGATTGGAAGAATTTCCTGGGTGTCGTTAAACTTTACATCCTAAATAGTTTAAAACAATAACAAAAGAAGCTACATTTATTTCCTGACCTCAGGACATCCAAATTGCTTGACAGCCAATGAAGTATTTTGACATAGTAGTTATTGTTGTCGTATTGGAAAGCACAGCACCCAATTTGCACTCAGCAAGTTCAACTTGAGAAAAATGAAAGAAAAAAGCATCCGGTCATTGTAGTAATGTTGTTTGAGAAATAAATGTTAGTAGGAGATCTTTTTGAATAGTGCTCTGGAACCCTTTGTGCCCATCTGAGAGGACACGTGACTTCTTCAGTGTAGTACTGAGGGAATGTTTTATCGCTGGAGATGTAGTCTTTCAGATGAGATATTAAACAGAGGTTGCACTTGTGTTTCAACAACAAATGTAGGGAAAGCATTCTATCAAGAAGGGTGAGAAAGAAACAATAGACAAAAGGTTTAAAGGAGCCATGTTGGAAGAATTTGGAATGAAACCTTGATTGAAAGGACGAATTTTGAGATGATTTACAGTCATGTGAGAAATAAAAGATGTGTTTTTTTGCTCTGAAAATGGTCGAGGGTAAATTGCAGGCACTTAGAATCTCCTCGAAAAGTGAGAAAAAAAAAGACTCTCAAGACATGAAGCTCTTTCATCTCTTTTGCTTGTTTGCAGTGACCTTAGAACAGTTCTGGAAAGCAGTGGAACAGTGCCCAGTCCCAGAAGACCAAGCTTTGCTGAAGAAGGTAAGATTACAAACTGAAACTCCCCCTTCAGAGAGAAACAATTAGTACATTCAGCATCAGAGCCACATTGTTCTTATCACCAAGGCCCGTTTATCATCTTTTCAGCTGTTAATAACTGAGCAGGGAGGGACACAAATATCATCACTGAGTAGGTGGGCTGCAGTATCTCAAACGTATTTGCTGCCACTTGGTTAAGTGCTGGAACTTGTTTGCAAGGCTGACAGGAAAGTGGGTGTTGAGTGTTAGCTGGAATTTATTTCAGTTTTAAATAGAATTCAATTATCTCAATTCAATGCTATCTATCAACAGTACTCTCTTTAACCAACTTATCAGGACTAGTTTGCTAAACTGACTGAGAATGTGCCTAATTACTGAGCAAACCTGGCTTTATCAGCTTTTAAAATAGGAAAAGTTAAAGCTGCACACGCTTTATGACAGACTTCCTTGGCTCAGCCACAAAATTGACTGCAATACTTACTCAACAGTGAAAAAAATTACTTTTTACCCCCACGTCTTTGCCTCTCTCTCTCACTCTCCTGAACGTGAGATCCCAAAGGCCACCATCTCGCACAAGTAGCCATTGTTCATCAACAAGTCTCGACAGCCAGGGAGCCAATCAGCTGACACGAGCAAGACGCCTTTGCTCCTGGGGTCAAGTCTCAACACCCAGTGAGCCAATCAGCTGACACCAGCAAGATAGACCTGGTCCTCTGCTGACGTGGACACTTCAAAATAATAATCGTAAGGATACAGGGAGCCAGGCCGATTGCCTTTCCCTAACCTGGAGACATCAAAACAACTTGTTGGATTCACACCTGCAATCTACTCCCAATGGGGTCCTACTAATCCATGCGGCTCACAAGAGCAGCATGAGTGAGGAAGCCTGTGTCACTGGATGTGTGCTCAGCTGGCTCCCTGGAGAAGATGGTGATGAGCTGCCTTTTGAACCGCTGCAGTTGTCAGGGTGTGGAGTATCCAGGGTGCTGTTAGGGAGGCAATTCCAGGATATTGATCCAACAACACTGAAGAAATAGCAGTATATTTCCAAGCCTGAGTGTGTGTGGCTTGGAGGAGAACTTGCAGGTAGTGATGTTCCTCCATGTCAATTGGCCTTGTCCTTTGAGGTGGTAGAGGTCATGTGTTGGGAAAGTGCTGTCAGAGGAGCCTTGGTGCGTTGCTTAAAACATTCTATCCCGATTCTTTGGGAGTTTTTGCCTCCGCTGCCTACCCTGAAATCTACTGACTACTTTTTGTAAAGAACATCCTGATATAAGTTGCAAATTGTCTTTCAGTAATTTGAATTTGTGGCCCTTGTCTTACTGTTCAGTTCAATCTGAAACAAGGTCTGGATTTAATTTTTAATTTTTCAGTGCTGTTAATTATATAATATATCTCCTTAAGTTCACTCACAGTTACCTCTTTTTGAGGCTAAAATGACCAAGTTTCTCCAGCCTTGGTTACAATTTTTGTGTATGATGCTTCTGTCAGTCATGTAAGCTTTTGACATCTTTCATGGAATAATTATAACAACCCATAACAACTCACCCAGTCTCTTCCAAATCCACAACTTGTACAACTTAGAAGGATAAGGATACGATGCACAGTTAACACTGCCACCTGTAAGTTCCCTTCCAAGTCCACGTACCATCCTGATTTGGAAATGTATTGCCACTCATTCACAATGGCTGGATCAAAATCCTGGATTTCCCTTCTTCATAGCACTGTGTGTATACATAACAACTGTGGACCACAGTCGTGTAGTCCAGGAACGTGTTAGAATAGTCAAGTCTAGTGGTAACAAAGACATGAATGGAGGAGTCAGCAGCAGATGAAAAGGTATGAAGTCAGGTGATGTTAAGGAGGTTAAGGCAATTTTTGAGGTTGTACAAATATGATATTGCGAACTCATCTCAGGATCAAATGTCACACCCACATTGTGATTCGACTGGCTTAATCTCAGATACTTGTGAGAATACACAGATAGGGAATGGACATTAACACATCTCATCACAGCCAATTAGATCTCCATTTCACTTATTAAGGTGTGACTTATAGACCGAGACGCTGAAAGCATGCCTGGACTGTGTTCATGAAGATAAAGCCCTGAGAATCGCCAGCAATTGGGCTTTGTCTGCATAACAACTGAAAGCTGAAAGTGTCACACGGGTGCCTGATATAGCTCTGGGAATTATTCCAACACTAAGGCCACCAACAGGGTAGATAGTGGGAGATCAGGAGTGAATGGGGAGTGGGGTTAGAAAATACAGACTGCCAGGAACTTGGAATTATTTCTGGATTGGAGGACAGCACTGCTGTTCCCCCTCCCCTTAGCTCCAAAAGTAAGGTAAGTAAAATAAAATAAAATAAAACAAATGGAAATTTACCTGTTCTTCATCAGTCCATTATAGGATCCACTGGATAGACATATGTAGATGTGGCAAAACTGATAAGAAATTGTGCCCAGATTTTCCAAAATTTCTGAGTCCTAAATCAGATGTCAGCCTTCTAGCAACCATTATCAAATAGCCTGAGCCTTCAGAAATGATTGACTACTAAATTTGCAGATAAGACTGATTTCAACAGAGCATACACCTAGATATTAGTCTTTTGGTAGCTATATTTGTCCAGAAATCACCCCACCAATCTCCCGCCCCCACTTTCCTGAATGTTTTTACAGGATCGTGTCACTGACTATGAGACACTAATCACACCATTAACCACCTGCAAAACTAATGAAACTTATCAGCATCCCAACTTCTCTTTTTAGATAAATTGTACATCCAGGTATTTTCTGTTTAGCTTACACTTGCTCTGTTTGTCCATTGCAACATCTATTGCAACTATGCCACCTTCAAGCCAAAATCACTCCAATATCAGTCTTGAGCTCTGGAATGCAGACATTTGTGTATGAGCTGTTTCAGGAACCAAGCTCCAGGTCATTGGGTCTAGGCCCGAAATGCCAGCCTTCCTGCTCCTATGATGCTGCTTGGCCTGCTGTGTTCATCCAGATCTACACCTTGTTATTCCAGGTCATTGTTCCCTCCTCCAAAGCAAATGAGAAAGTCATTCTTTTCACCTAAAACCATTAAAACTGGATTCCTCTTCCAACCAGCTCCCACGGGTCAACATCTCTTTTCATCGATTCATATCAGTGTCACATCCTGGAAAATGTGAACAATTTTCCATATCCGTAGAGTCTTCTGTTTTCTAGATGACAAAATTAATCAATCTGCCAATTGACTGAGGAAAAGAGTTTCTAAGGACCTGAATCTCCAACTTGAGACTAGGATCATGGTTTACCGAACTGGGTGCTACCTGCACTCATATATGCTTCAGAGACTTGGACAACCTACAGCAGGCACCTCAGAACTCTGGAGGGGTACTACCTTTGGAAAGCCCTGAAAATATGGTGGCAAGAATGTCCGTCCAACAGCGTGTCTGCTCTAAAGCCAACTTGTCCAGTATCAAGGCACTGATTATTCAAAACTAACTCCAAAGGTCAGGGCCGTGTAATTTGAGTGCCTGACACTAGGCTCCCAAAGCAGCTAATCAACTCAGAACTTGGTTACAACAGAAGACTCCCAGAAGGACAGCAGAAGCACTTTGGAATCTTCTCAATCAACTTATAGGTAACTCTCCAACTCCAGTTAGACCCCACCACCTGGAACATCTTCCTCTCTCCACCCAGCTCTGCCTTCCGCACGGACCATTCTCTTTGCCACTCCTTAGTTCACACTACACTCCCCACCAACCACTCCAATCCACCCAGTACTTCCCCTGTAACCATAAAAGGTGCAACACCTGCCCACACACCACCTCCCTCACCTCCATCCGGGGCCCTAAACATTCCTTCCGGTCGAGACAGAGCTTCACCTGTATCTCCTCCAACCTATTCTATTGCATCCAGTGCTCCCGATGTGGGTCTTCTCTACATCGGTGAGATCAAACATAGAGTAGGTACCGTTTCACCAAGCATCTTTGCCTGGCCCATAGCGGCCAATCTAACCTCCCAGTCACTGCCCATTTCAACTGCCCATTCTATCCCCCTTCGACATCTCCACCCTCGACCTCCTCTGGTGTTGCAGCGAATCAGAATGCAAATTTGAAGAACAACACCGTTTCTTCCGCCAGGAGCCTGGAGGACTCAACATTGAGTTCTCCAATTTCAAATAACCTTCCCACCCATCCCCCGTTCTATTTCCAGCCCCACCTCCTCCCTTCCATTCCACCTTCTGACCGTCCCTTCCAGCCACCAATCGGATTCATCCCTCCCGTTGACCAACCAGGTCGTACCTACTACCAGTGTCCACCTATTGCTGCCATTCTGCTACAACACTCGCCCCACCCCCTCTTTATCTGCAGCTCCCCCTACCCCCACATCCAGTCCTGAAGAAAGGATATCTGAAACGTTGACTTCTCCTTTCCTCCAGATGCTGCCTGGGTTGCTGTATTCTTCCAGCCTCCTGTTTGTCTCTCTCATAGGAAACTCTGGCTTGTGACTGACCAAAATGGAGAAAGCTCATTTGGGAAGACACCAAACACATTGAAACACATTGTTGAAAATATGCAAAGTCAAGCTGTCTGAGGGAGCATGGAAACCTCCAAACAACCCATCAGTTTAACCTATCTGACCCTCCAAATGCTACATGCCCTATGTGTGGCAGTGCCTGCAGATTACATACTGGATAACTGTCTGTGTGGAGTTTGCACATTCTGCCTGTGTCTGCATGGGTTTCCTCTGGGTGGTCTGGTTTCCTCTCACAGTCCAAAGATGTGCAGGTTAGATGGTTTAGCTGTGGAAAATGGGGAGCTAAGGGGTTGGAATGGGATGCTGTTTGGAGGGACAGTACAGACTCAAAGAGTCGAATGGCCTCTTTCCGCACTGTAGGGATTTGATGAAATGACTGCGAAAATATTGAGTGCATTTGCCAATAATTCTGTAAACTACATCTTCCTACGGGGCAGCTGGTCCAAAAAGTTAAACATGACGGATGGGTATA